GTTTCTTTCTTTCTTTCTTTGTTTCTTTCTTTCTTTCTTTGTTTCTTTCTTTCTTTCTTTGTTTCTTTGTTTCTTTCTTTCTCTCTCGCTCTCTTTCTTTCTCTCTCTCTCTGTTGCTCTCTCGCTCTCTCTTTCTCGCTCTCTCTCTTTCTCGCTCTCTCTTTCTCGCTCGCTCTCTTTCTCGCTCTCTCTTTCTCGCTCGCTCTCTATCTCTCTCTTTCTCTCTCTGTCTTTTTCTCTCTCGCTCGCGCGCGCACTCGCTAATTATGCACAAACTTCTCGTTTCTTAAAAAAGTTGTTCATTGCTTTTTTTAAGAGCTGAATTTTTAGAAGATATTTTTTTAATTAAAAAATCTGTCTTAAATTTTGTAGTTTTGGAATGTTAACTTCTTGGAATATTCAAAAATATGGAGAGTTTACTGAAAACATTGGCTAGCATCATATTTTTTAACCATCCTTTGATACATATGAGAAAAACTTTAAAGAAAAAATTTGGACTAATTTTGGAGAAAAAATTGATTAAAATGTTTTTAATTGCCTTTATTCAATGCAAAATTACGCCAAAACTACTCATATTTAGTAAAAATTTTACATGACCTTATCTGAATTTATTTTTCTTACTTTTTCATGAAGGAAAAAATCTCGATCTTCTTTAGTTGGAGAAAGACGGAAAAAATCAGACTTGCAATTTTAGAAAAATCAGGGATTTTACAGAAAGTCAGACTTGCCCCACCTCTTAAGCATTCTTTACGCAATCCAAGAACAAAGTTTAATCAAAAAATTTCGTAACTTCTGCTGAGAGTTCATGTAAAGTTCTCTCAAAAATCAAAATATCCATTTCGCACTCACAAATCCTCAAGTTCATTTAGGTCGATCTGTTGGGGAATATGAATTTTAACGAAAATCGGCTAAATAGTTTAGGCACAAATGTTGACCACAGGTGAACAGAAAGACATTTTGTTTGCCGTCAATCAAATTTTTGGTATCAAGGACCTACCAAAGAAGGGTTCTGACTACATCATGTGTTTGATGAAATAAATTACAATGTTAGAGGAACATGATTTATCAACTTTTTGGTTGTCAGAATCCACCAATAAGGGTTTTTGTGCCAAAAATTTGCCATACAAGATTGCGATACTTTCTCTTCTTACGAAGTAAGTGTGAGAAAGTAAGAAGTTCAATGAGCAATGGGGCTCAGAAATGTAGTTGGTCCCTCTTCTTGTATTTGGCTGCAAAAGCTACGGTTTCAATTCAGGGACTACTATAAGGCACATCCAGAAAGTACGTTACCCTAGGTTGTGATCAAAAAGAAAACACAATTTAATGGAAAAATTCACTGTAGTAGATGCAGCATTTTTTGTACTATTTTTCCGCATAATCACTCCTAGAATTATATTTGCCATATTGTGGGATCAACATTTGTATCCCTATGTCATAGAAGTCTCCTGCCTGTGATAGGTATGTACTAGTGTTTAACAGCCACCATCTCTGTATTGCAGTGATATGCGTAATGCTAACTGAACATGAACTTCTCAAGATCTGAGAAAAGATGGAAATCGCTGGAAGTTGCAGACAATAGGGTGGATGGTCCTACACTGCAGAAGAAGTGTTGTCAGCGGGCCATGTGTGGTTCACTGTATGACCATCCACTCTATATTCCAGATCTCTAATGATTCCTATCTTTTTTTACGTTTCAAGAAATTCCTGTCTGGTCATTATTACTGCAGAGTAATGCAAAGTTACCAGTGGCTGTCAAACACTGACACCTACCCCAGGCAGCAGCTTCTACGATGTAGGGACACAAATGTTGATCCCATGGTAGGATTAGTTTTCTTTTTGTTGATGACCTATGGAAACTTACTCTCTGGATGCACCTCATAATAATCAATTGATTGACATGTAGTATTGAGGTTACCACACTGGTTTTTAAGAACCATGCTCGCAGGGTCAAACTCAGCTGGAACGAGTGTATTATTGAAGATGTCATGAGACACTTGTAGCAAATAAAAGAATCCAAGGTAAATGTTGAGTAAAATTAAACCATCTAACTCCTCCTATACTAATGTTGCATTCACTCAGGAGAACAACAGTTAAGGGATAATATGACCAAGATCATTGTGTCATTTTCTGGCACCAAATATGGCAGTCCAGAACAATAAATAGCATTGAGCATCCATGTGGTACCATTCTCAGAAAATGCCCATGTAGGATTTGGGCAAATTTTAAGCACCCAGGTATTAGACAATAGCAATACAACAATTAATAAACCAATTACTGAGACAAAATATCATGCAATGAATAAAAACATACTTTACACTATTTAATTATATTACCAATGCATGCATTTCCTTCAGGAACCAATTGATAGTTGGGTGGACACTGGCAAATGTAACTTCCTTGTGTGTTGATGCATGTACCATACAAGCATGCTGATGGACTGCTGCATTCATTTACATCTGTGCAATTTCCTGAAAATAATAGATAAATTTTCATTATTTGTTTCTGTAAATATTATTTTATTAGAAAATAACGAGAAAATATTATATAGCCTACCTCCTGACCCATCTAGTTCATAACCTTTGTTGCACTGGCACCGAAACATACCAAATATATTTTCACATCGTCCGTAAACACATAGGTTACTGAACATTTGACATTCATCAATATCTGGAATATACAATAAATTACTATTAATAGCAAAAAACATACACATAAACAATTAAATTTACAATAACACTGTTTAACTTTCAAATATTGTGAAATATGACATTAATTAATGCCAACACAAAAATGAAACAATTTACAGTTTTTAATGGGAAAATTAATGTTTAATGGGTTGCATTGAACTTTGAAATCTTCTTTCTTGAGTTTTAATGTTTTACTAGTTTTTGTTTAACACATTACAATATCTGCTTTAAGTATTATTTATTTATATAGTCAAAAAACAATAGAAACTGTATGTGACGTATGGGGGAGAAGATCATCATTATTCAACTGCCTGTTAATATCATAATAACATGAGAGTAATATTAAAATGTATTTATTGCATTGCATTGTTAAGTATTGTAAGTGAAGTTTTATTGTTACTATTGTATTGAAATATCATTACCATGCGCAACTCTGTGATTATTATTTGTGAGCAGAAAATTTTATTTTACTGTGGAAATTAGACAAAATTATCCATTTAGTATATTAAATAAATAAATTTAAAATGTATACCTACCAATGCAAGCTTGGTCATTTCTGTCATCAGGATGCATGAATCCCATTTCACATTCACAACGGAAAGACCCAGGATAATTCAAACAGTGTCCGTTTTCACAGAGTGTAAAGTCATGTGAACATTCATCAATGTCTTGGCAAGAATATCCATTACCACGAAAACCAGCATCACAAACACACTATGAACATCAATTTAAGTGAGTAATAATGGACACAAGTAAATTTCAGACATCAGTAACAAACCACTTACTCTAAATGACCCTTCAGTGTTGATACATTGAGCATTTTGATCACAACCTCCATTGTTAGTTAAACATTCATTAACATCTCGGCACATAATACCATTTCCTGTGAAACCATCTTGACATTGGCAAGTGAATGAACCCTATAAATTAAATTTACAAGAATAACCTTTTAATATATTTTAAAATGTACAAAACATGACAATTCCATTCATTTTCAATCCAAATCATTTTCTGTAATAACATAATAAGTCACCTGTGTATTAGTACATTCTGCATTAACATCGCACATGAAGTCACCCATCTCACACTCATCATCATCTGTGCAAGATGGACCTTGACCAACTTTCACTGAATAACCTTCTTCACAGTGGCAAAGAAATGAACCTAATGAATTATCACATTGTCCACTGCCACAGATATTTGGTTGTTGCTCACACTCATCCACATCTGCAAGACAAGTTAAAATAAAATAGTGACTCTCCCTTTAAACGAGACATATATGTTTGTCTTCAACTGGCAGTGTTTAAATTATAATATTATTTTATATAAGAATTAACATACAAAGAACACATTAATAAATAGATAGATAGCAGCGACCTTGTCCTATTACTTTTACAGAGGTCCCTGGAAGTGAGGAAACAAATGCAGATAAAGGCTAAAATAGAAGTGTCCTCACCTCCTGTGATTCTAAGTGGGTTGTACTAGCAGTATTTCATTGAACAAAGGTAAAATGAAATAAAATAAAATAAATTGATTATATAAATAGAGGCACATTATTACACATGTATACAGACTAATGCAGACAGCATGTCCTGGTTAGACTCCCCCAATAATTTTGTATATCCAATTTTATATTATTTCAATCAAAATGGAGAGGATTTTAATACTAAATGGCAAAGGTTACATTTAAATTTCATGTTTATTTTTACACATATAATTAACATTTTAATATTATTAGGTGGCCTTATAATTTGGTCGTGGTCTTAAGGGCCTTTGTGATATTCATTTGCCTCTGAATATAATTTTTCTACTAATTCGCAATCTTAATTTAAATCTTCAGAGATTGTGTTATAGTATTTTATGCAGATTTCCCCTCAAAAGTCCTAAAATTCTCAACACTTTTTGAACAGAAAAGAAAGAAAGAAAGGAAGGAAGAAAGTAATTTTTAGGCTCTCACTCACCAATGCAGGAGCTGCCATCCCTGCCAGCTAAGAGACCTTTAGTGCAAATACAGGAGTAGCTGCCTTGCGTGTTAGTGCATTTTCCTCCACTGCATATGCGAGGATTCTCTTTGCATTCATCCACATCAGTACAGCTTCGACCATCAAGCAGAAGAACATATCCAGCACTGACAAGGGAAAAAATTAAGTCAATAATCTCTTCTCTTAAGAAATGAACATGCATTTAAAATATTGTATTCATAACACAAATAAGCAAGAGAAAATAAGAACTCTATTTTTAATATAAAAATTTCACAAAGTACAAAATAAATTTCAGGCGTTCAACTTAATATATTATATGCATATAATTTTCATGTGGCTTGCAGCATTCAAGTGCGATTTCTGAAGATGTATTCTGGAGAATGTTACTCCTGAGATAAAACATAATTTTTAATCAAAAGGCACAATATACTATATTTAATACATGCCTTAGTATACATTAAATTGAGAAAAAGGCAATTGTTATTTTCTTATTTATATGATATTGAATGTAATGAATCTAGAAAATCTCCATGGTGGGGAAGAATTCTTTTATCAACAAAATAATAAATTATTTCATAAAATATTAAAATGTATTAATAAAAAGCATATCACAATTAATGAGGAAATGACAGAGAAACAGGTAAGTATGATGTAAAATCAGAACATTGGAGGCAGGAACAATACAAAATAATATACTAATTAAGTTTAGCACACTCCCGGGCTCAAAAGAGTGGAACCAGCTGGAGCTGTGAAGTTGTGTTCTGAGCAACAAACATAAGATCAGAACTTGTGGGAAAGGGACAATTCAAGAAGGTAAGAAGCAAGGGTGGATGGAGAGGGCAGAAGGGAGGAGAAGAAACTTGTTACAGACTTGAATATCGGGGTAGACTGTTAAATACAATACAAAGAATTGTTGTGCAGAAGTGAATTATTTTTATCCACCTTCATTTGTATGTAATCAAAGTAAAATTAATAACAGATTTGTGTTAAATAGAGAATTAAATATAGAAATAATAGTAAAATTAAATCTATTTTCTTTAAAACAGTAATACTTGATGAAAGAAGGTGTTCCGTTGAATCCCCCCACTGATTCATACTCATCATTATTTCTATTCATGATAATACTGCCTTATTGATTTATGTTGTAGTGTGGTAACTTCTATGGTCTTTTGAACAATATGAAATCATTACTGATTAGAATTATTAGCTTTCCATCATAAAAAAATAAGAAAGCCTGCTTTTGACTTCGCTCAGTTGCACGTCACTGTGTTCACAATAAGGGAAACTTTAAGTGAAGAAACATACAAGTAACTCAGCTATTTACTCACCTACATGCACATGAGTAACTTCCTGGTGTATTCATACAAATATCTTCACACCCACCATTGTGTGTCTCACATTCATCGATATCTACAAAATAAAATTATGAATCCTTTTTCGTTCATTTTGTAATATTCTTTCATTTCAAAATCATGAAATACCAAATCCCATATATTTACCTTCACAGTGTGACTTTTGTCCTGTTTGTTGGTAACCATCATCACAAACACATTGATAGGTTCCCATCATATTTTCACAAACGCCATTTGAACAGATTCCACTGGTGCGTGAGCATTCATCAATGTCTGCATTGTGAAAAGAAATTTTAATAAAATTGATTAAATATGAACATAGTGTTAAATGCAATGTAGACTTCACTAGGATAAATTCTTATGTACCCTTGCAAGACTGTTTGTCTGGAGCAAGTTCATGACCAGGAGGACATTCACACCGAAAACTTCCTGGAGTATTAACGCATGTGCCACCACGACATAAGCCAGGAGTGTTACGGCATTCGTCGATATCTGAGAAATGTCACAAGAAATAAAACATTAAATAGAACAAGAAAAAGAAGAAACACATCAAAATGAACAGAATAAAACTGAAACATAACTTTTATCACAAAATTATTTTACCAATGAATACAAGATGTACATTTTTCAAAATAGAACTTCAAAAAGATATTTTAAATTATTTCTGTGGAATATGATGAGTTTTAAAGTTCCGGTTGTACACCATATCCCTATTTTTGGAGGGATATTTTTTTCAGATTTTTTACAATGAAATGTTTTGAAACTAATGTAAACTTCTTTATATAATAAGTATTAGATATTCTTAGATATTCTTGAACATGACTATTGTTTTCATTTCATTAAAGCTCAATAATGACATGTTCTGTCAGTGTTTCAAAGAAGAACTTTTTGGACTACTTTAATTTCTGAACTATTTGAAAGACATTGATTCTTGATTCTTGTAATTATATTTTTTGTATATATAGAAGACCACTAGAAATCTAATACAATTTCTAACTAAGCCAATTGAAGTGTTTGGGATCAGAAAGTCCACAGCCACATTTTGGCAAAAATTACTATATTACGATCTACAGAATGTCTCAAATAAATGTTACAAACGTGAGGGTATGTGGAAGTGTCCAAAATAACAACTCCTTGCCAATGAACGTGCAGTGTGAAATTTCTTATACCAAAGTTACACACGTGACATTTGCCCCTGACTATTAGGCCACTCCTCCTGCATTGATGTTTGGAAGATCACTTAAAAGTCAGAGCGAAGCAGTCAAAATGTTTCGTGTGTCTGCCAGGCATCAATGCATGGGGAGTTGCTTAATAGTCAGGGGCAAACGTCACGTGTGTAACTTCATTATGTGAAATTTCCCACCACACGTTCATTGGCCAAAACCCATTATTTTAGACCCCTCTTTAGACATTTGTAACATTTTTCTGTGTGACCCTTGGACTTTGGAATCTTCCAGTGCACATCTGTCAGTAGCATTGAATTGTGTATAAACAAAATAAATGGAAGAGTACAACCGGAATGTTTGTTAAAGATTCCAAGCATATTGTATACACATTTTGCCTGTTAACTCAATTTCAATCTCTAGTGGCATTGGACTACCTATTCCTGAGCTTTTCAAATGATCAAGTTAACTTTACTTTCAATTAGAAAAGATAAATTTACAAAGAATACAATCTTCAAGCGATTAAAAGTATATCTTCACATAATATGAATGATTTTTCAAGATAATAAAGAAACTTCTAATCCTCTTGCTACCAGACAATTATCTTACCCATGCACACCTGCATCATCATATTACTCTCATAGCCTTCTTTGCAGTCACACTGAAAACCACCAGGCACATTGCGACATTCTCCATCACCACAAACCCCATGCATAATGTTGCATTCATCAATATCTGCAAGTAAATAAATAAATTAATTAATTAACAAATGGGAAACACTGCACAATGTTATTTTAAGTCACAATGGACTTCACAAAAATTAAGATCACTTACCCAAGCATTTGATTCCATACTCATCTAAAGCATATCCTTGACTACATCGACAGTAGAAACTTCCAACTGTATTTTTGCATCGACCATTCTCACACATACCCACAAATTCGGTACATTCATTTATATCCTTTCTATCAAGAAACCCAGGACCCTTAGGGCAAAGTTCTTGATGTAAAGGAGTGCCTGGACGAGGGCATGCTTCACATTTTGTACCCCAAGCTCTGCCAACAGCGGAACAGCAACACATGCTTCGAGAGAATACTCCTTCTAAGGCACCAGCACAACTGCCATAGCGATACTCAGTGTAACAGGTTTCTTCTCGCATATCAAGGCACAATGTTCCTAAAAAGACAAGGATGTTATGGATAGGAGCAGAACATATGTCAAGTAAATAAATACTAATTATATACAGCTACCATGAAGTGAAATGTTTCACTTGCCAAAGTGGCAATTTAGTTTTTAATATCCCAGCATATAAAGACCATGAAGAGAAAAGAAGAAAATGTATACAAATATATCAAAATATTTGGAAATTTAAAAAAAAAATAGGCAATGTTTATACGTGAAACCAATGAGAAACGTTTTTCATGTCCCATAAAAAGGCTATCACAACCTGTGCGAACGCATCACAACCTATATCTCTTTGAAATTTTATTTAATGATTGACTTCAATAACATAAATAGGCTTTAATGATATTGAAACAATTTATGCCTTTTAAGCAAATTTCCTAGAATATGAAACATAAGTATGCAAATAATCTAAATCACTTAATTTACATTGAGAAGATTTTGGAACATAAACAACTAACAAACTAACCTGTTGTATCCAATGTTAGACCAGGGGGGCATATACAAGTGAAGGAACCATCTGTATTAACACAAGTTCCTCCTCCTCGACACATGCCAGCATTAAGATCACATTCATTTATATCTGTACAAGTTTTACCATCCACCTACAAAAAATAAGTTAGAGACAAAGTACTATAGAGTGTTATTTATCAGTTAACAATATTATCATACCTATATTTTCATGTAATTTTTCCTCAAAGTGAAGAGAATTTAAAATAATATTTATTTTCAAAAATGTCTGCAAACATTTTCTTTAATTTTTTTCCAAATAGAGAAAAGTATGCTAATAAAAATGGTGCAAGTTCAATTTTTGTTGAACATTCTGAATTTTTTAAAATTGAAAAAGTTACAAATAATACAAGAAATTGTGTGCTGTTGTAGCACCCCAAGTTTATCAACTGGAGCAAGCATTAATCACTTTTTAACTTAGCAACAAAGTGTGATCTTATATTGTACAAGAAAAAGGTGGTATATGTTATCTTCTTCACTTTTATTTTACAAACCCTGTATGCCTGATTACCTGTATGCAATGTAGAGTTGAGCAATGAGATTCAACATCGATTTGTGCAAAATAATGCAGGCTAGGATGCAAGCTTCAAAATCATTACTATTCAGCATGGTGAAGTAACAATTATTATGTGGCATCAAGGAAGTATGATGATGCAAACATTAATGTTCACATATGACAAAAAAACTAAAATATATCGCATAGTCGCTAACTTGTTTAAGGAAGCTTTAACAGACTCATAAAGTGGCTGTTTTGAGAAAATCAAAATAGAAATAGTAGTATTTTTGTAAAAGCCATTGTGCAGCATTAGTGAGAAAAGAAAAGAAAAGAAAGAATGGCTTTATCTCACAATGTTATGTGATGTTGTTGTGTTTATATAGACGCAACATGTCTCCTAACTCCTTAAGGAGCATTGAGTCCACCATGGATGGAGTAATCCTCAGTTAATTTTTCTTCTTCTTCGAATTAATGCAATGTGGCATGAGGGCATGGTGTAGAATATAAAGAAAACCCAAGTACATGTAAAAGGATGATTGCAACAGAAAGGGATTGATGATCAAAGTTGATTTCAGTTTGGATCTGCCCAGTCTGGGAGAAGAGGCCTGTTGTTCAGCAAGAGGAATCTCACATCATCAGTTAAGGAAGAAAAACAGACATACAAGAGATCTTGACAATCATGGAGGAATCTCTTTGAAACTGCAATTAGGTAGGTACTTTAATGGGGAGGCAAACAAGCTTTTAAAAGATCATCTGAAGCAGCTTGGGAGCAGATGGGTGCTCCAAGATGGACCAGCCTTGGATCCTGCTGGGAAGTTAAAGAAGCTATGATTTAGTTGTTAGAGTTCAGGGACTCTTCAACTGAATGATCAAATGAGTAGAAAACAGTGATGAGGTGGATTGTGAAGTAGAAATATTGGAACAAGAGGTAGGGGCATCAGGGCAAACCCAAGAAAATGTGCCAAGGGTTTGCTGTTCACCATGAATTTTACATGGATTCAGAGATCGAACCATACAGCACCAGACCAATTGTTAGAAACCATGACCAATTAACTTAATGAAAATGTTAACTTGTTTCACAAATCACAGAGATGAAATACAGTACTTTATGGTATAAAGAATATATTCAAAAATAAATATTAATTACTCTAACCTTCTTCTAAAGCCCCTAGTCATAAGGAAACATATTGTTGAAATAATAATGTAATTTACAAAATGGTGTTAGTGTCTGTTATGAAAGTACAATTTATAAATAATTTACCATGTTTCCTGATGTTTATTTTCTGTTTTCGTAAGTATTTCGTCACGATATGATAAGGAAGATAAAAAAGGATTTAAAAGAAAGGTAGACACTGAAATGCTGTAGGAAGGCCATAAAGAAAAGTATGAAGATTGATCCAAGGGAAAAAAAAAAGAAGAAAACACTCATATTAAGCCAACCAAAAAATACTAAATTAATTGTTCTCTCAAAAGTCAAATATATTCAACTTAGAGAAATAAAAATATTTTCCTGACAAACATAAAAGGATTGGAAGTAGTTTCCCATGCAACTGTTAACAAATGCACTTTAGTTATCTTCTACATTGCAACATTAAATGCAATTTAAGAGATATAATGGAATTTTAAACATTTTAAAATCATACTAGGCAAAAGATAATAACAAAATGTAAAATTATTTACCTTAGCATAACCTTTAGGACATTCACATGCATGAATATTGCATATTTCACAGGGACTACCCCAAGCTAGCCCAACAGAACAACAGCATTCTGATTTCAGGGTCAATTTCGGCAAATTGTTCTCACAACGACCTCCAAGCAGTCGGGTCCAGCAAGAACCCTTTCTGTTATCTGTACAAACATAATCAACTGATTAATTCAAATACATGACAACGTTATTTTCATTTGATAACATCATTGATAAATACCAAGGGTTTAAATGAAAGGAAATTCAGAATAACCAATTGTTCTTACCTATACATATTCGGCCCGTATTGTCCAAGATGAATCCTGGATCACATTCACATTCATAAGAGCCAATGGAATTCAAGCACACCCCATTAACACAAGCATCAGGTCCTAATTCGAGGCATTCATCAATATCTTCACACACATGAGTCTCGGGATTATACTGGCTGCCTGTTGGACAGATGCACTGTAAAAATAAATGTACATGTAATTTCCTTTTTCCATCTTGTATTATTTTATAATGTATAGAATATTTTCAATTTAAAGTGAACTTTAATGTATGTAGTATGTATGATTGATGTATGTAGTATGTATGAGGAGTATGTATGATTCATAGACATAATTAAGATTGCCTCTAGTACTTGTTTGAGTTAAGACAAAATATTAATCTTTCAATCATTGTAAGATAATATTTTGATTGACAAGAATAGTTTGAATTAAACTGTATAGTACTGAATGTTAGTATGAACTGAATAGTATTGAAAGTGATCTGGCCTGGATTCATATAACAAATATCTGTATGTACAGTTGTTCGTTCACTGCTATCATTGCGTTAACCATTTTTTTCTTTCTTGTAAGTGATCCTAAATATGGAGTAATATAAGTAGTGTAAGAGAAATGTACGTAATGCTGCAGAAAATCAATTTCAATATTTTAATGGAAATACATGTATGGGAGACCCCTGACACCAAAAAAGTATTTATTTTTCTACAAATATCTCACATTGTCTCTGTCTTTGAAATTTGGTGATACTTTGTATGTAGTTTCTCAAAAACTAAAAAAATTAATGTCAAGGTGAATACAAAGATGTGTATTTTTAGAAAAGATCAAATTAATGTTTTCCAAAACGGGCCCAAATTTTGTAATGAAAATGAGCACATAAAAACAGGTTTTTACTTCCATATTATTCTTCAAATCCTATTTACATTCTTCTATTGAGGGATTGCAAAATTGAGAATATGAGAAAAAATGTATGCTTTTTAATAAAACAATTTCCTCAGTATAAATGTAATATGAAAGTAAATTAAATCATTTTGTTAATTGATATATATTGCAAATAGTAAGTTTTACAATATTTTTGTAAAGTTAGCCAATTTTGAGAAAATTCTTCTCTGCTGAGCAAAATGTTGAGCTGAAAAATATCTCTGTTTGCATTGTTGCTATGTAAATAAATGGTGCCAATGTTGTTCCAATACATAGATTCATTGTTGAAAAGAACATTAAAGGTTGCTTATGCATAAAAATGTCATTTATAGTTACATTATTAGTTTTATTAAATTATTATTATTATATGTTAATAATTGTTGTGTGTTAGTAGTTAAAGGTTTTTGGTAAAGTGATTTGGTCTTAAGAGAGGCAGGCAGGTGAACCCAAGTATATGGTCATTAAGGCTGTGGGTTTGAATCCCACATAAGTTACAAATGTTTTAAGTTGTATTCTTGGCATGAGAGGCATTTTGAGTCCCCTGCATAACACATCTATATCCTAATTCTTCCATAAGTCTTGGGCTGATAGGCAACTGGGCGTGTAATCAAGGAGCTGGTCCCTTACACTCAGTGTAATGATAAGAGCACTAAGTTGGAATGAAGGGATGCCATGGGCAAGTATGTAAAGGTATAAATCTGAGATACACTAATGTTATGTTCAGGTTGCTCTTCACCTGAAATGACCTCTAGGTGTGGTAGGCTCTGCAAGAGGCCCTGGAGAATTTTTCACGCACTGCAGATAGCAACTGGGAAAAGGATTGGACAAAACCAAAAGGCTAGTCAAGAGAAATGAGAAAAGGAAGCTAGTATGACAAAGTCTGTGCAATTCTGTAGCACCATAGTTTTTGTTGTTTCTGATTTTCAAGAGAGTAAACATAAATTCACAACTTTGTTATTTAATTTTAGTCTATTAAATTGAATGGAATGTACATAAGAAATGTGAATTGTTATTGCCTTACATAGGAAGAAAGAAAAGTTTGAAGAGGGGTGGGTAAGAGATAAATTTTTACAATGGACTTATAATTATTCAGACAAAATTTGAGTACTTATAAATAAATATATTTTACATAAAGAGATTTATGATTTTTTTCCTACAAGAACTGCACTAGGCCAAGTAATCCTTTTGAACTAGCAGATAAGTTTTTGTTCAAAGCAACGTACCTGAAAACTTCCAGGAGTATTCCGACACTGTCCTCCATGACACACCATTTCATCCATGATGCATTCATTAATATCTATACATACTTTTCCGGTGTTGTCTATTTGATAACCAGCATGACAGATGCAGCGATAGGTGCCAATTAGATTTTCACATGCTCCATTCTGGCATATGCCTGGATTTTGGGCACATTCATTTATATCTGGAATTTGAATTTTATGTAAAATTTGTACCTTTTCTGCCATCTGAAACAGTAATATTTTATAATGGACTGTCTGCCTCATGGATAACCTAATTTTTTTTTTTAATTTCTTCTATGAAAATTGGAGATTTTCTAGTAAACTTTCCTTTAAAAAGTTAACTGGATTTTCAAGAACATATCTAGTAATTCTTTTTAAGTGAAATTACATAAATTATACTAATTTTAAATTCCTTTTACTATTTATATTAGTCCTGGGAGCTTAGTCACTACAGGCTAATTTGCTTTTACTGGATGGCAGCTGACCTTCTCCATTGTATGTCATGCCCACACCATGCGGACACAGCTGCTTAAAGTCAGGAGATACACCAGCCATACAGGGTTGACAACCAGAACCCCAGCCCATTGGTTGATCTTCAGAACCCATACAACAACAGCGTGATCGTGACACGGGCATACCAGTTGGATTGGAGCACTGGCCTTCATTGTACTGCGTATAACACAGGTCAACACGTGTGTCTGCAATATTATAGTATACCACACATACCATTGTATATTTAAGTTAATGACATCATTGATCTTTAACAAACATTCTTCTTATATTTGTAGTAGTGTAGGATATTTGTGAAAACCTGAAATTAGTTAAAACTTGATTTCACCTGTTATAAGTAGTTTTAACACCCCTTTAATATGCCTAACCCAATAATAAATTTCACTGACATTTTACAGAAAATTGGAATTTGTTGAATTAGTCACAATTTTTAAACTAGTTCTGACGAAGATGGATCCTTGACCCTACAATATAATTGCTCCCTAAGCTTTTGCACACCTACACATAGTTATAGAGTATTATATTTCTTTCAATCACTTAAGAGCTGTTAACAAAGGTTTACACAATCCTAGTGATTTTGATTTTTCCAGTGTATTTAGAATATATGGATTTGGGATAGTTTTGTTTTTATCATCAGTAAAATGAATCACAATAAATTTGAAAACGAATAATGTAGGGATGTAGAAAGAAAATGTTTTAATAAAATTCATCATTGAGAGAATGAAAAAGGCAGTGCAATAATTAGATATGATCAAAATAAACTTTCAGTTAAAATAAGAGGCAAAACTATGAAGAAAACCTACTTAAGGGCAAACAACAGTAAAAAGTTTAATTTTTCATATTTTTTTTAACATATTGTACAATGACCATGTCAAAAGAATGCTTCTCTAATAGATACAAAATGTCATCTCTGCAAATGAAAACATCATCACCAATGATGAAGCAAATCAGAATGCATATCTGAACAAATACACTTCTATAAATTTCAGATACAATGATCACAAATACATTTCCTTTACATATATTTTTAAATTCTTTAATAAAAATAGATTTATATTGTAGATTTAGTCATGACATTTTTCCCTTTAATAAAAGGATTTAACATCACTTTAGCTACAACTTTCCAACTAAAACAGTGAATTCTAGAATTAACATTTTAATATAGGGACTAGTTCATGAATGACCATTAGTAGGCAACAGGACACACGGATATATCTAGTTTTAACTAATTTTGGGTTCTCTCAGTAACACATAATGCATATTGGAATAAAACATATAGAGAGTAACAATCACAATTAAATAACTGTATTTGATAATAAACTCATTTGAAAAAATAGACATCAATCAAAAATATTACCTAGACAGGATCTTCCATCAGGGCCTAAATTAAAACCAGTCATACACTCACAGCGAAAACTTCCAAGTGTATTGATACAGTTGCCATGTCTACATGGGTTACTTATACATTCATCAATATCTGTAAAAAGGAAAAAAAAACAGAGCAATTTGTTCCAGCTCTTAAAAATACAAACACAGCTAATAGAGGAGGTAGAGGACCCCAGGTCTCAACTCTTAAAGGAGTCCTCAGTCTCCCAATCTATCAAGAGGTTTTCATTTGCTAAAGGAGCTTCACTCATTAATGGAACCCTCACATTGGCCTCAGACCCCAGCTAACATGGCCAAGCCTAGCTGGCCATGTTTTTCCAACGCGAGCATTCACCAGCAGCTCGCAAGCCTCAAGATGAAAAGGGAAATAACGATGGGTCAGGGGCAATGCCTTCAGAGGAAGTTTCCAAGAAGGACTAGATGGTCCTCGCCTGCTGCCTGGTAAATGCTGCATTATTGGTTACAGTTTCTCTGAAGGTTGCTTCTACATACAATTTTGAGCAGTTATTTTCTGTAATGAACCTCAGTGCAAACAGCTACAGTACATGTAAGATGTTTCTTTAAAATCAGTCCACTTTCTTGCAGAAGTCATCAACTTCACACCACGTTTCCATGTCTGCTTGTGGATACATATAAAACGTAATGTGTCTATTAAATGTGTAGTAATGTAAATAGTAATAACATAACCTGTAAGAAATAGATTAAATACAAAGTATATTACATATATGTAACTTGCTGTAGAGATTCATATTTTGAAACATTTTTTTATTATTTATTTATTAACATGAGACTGCTTTGTGAACTTTAAACAGAAATTCATTTCATAAATATTTGTGCTTTCCTTTGCATCCATACCACAAGTGTTTTGCATCTTCCATGCTCTAAGTCCTCCTCCTAGATATTCCCTTTCATATTCACTGAAGCGTCACAGAGGGGACAACACTTGCAAGTATAGCATCTAACTGTATTGTGCTTGCCAGCTGCAAGCCAATTTGGTGAGCACAAACTTTGATAGGCCTGTTAGTCTATTACAAATTACTAATATAAATCTCAAAGAAGGGGGAAAAGTTTCCAATGCATTCAATATTTTCAATATTATTTACACACTCAACAATTATAATTTATTGTTTAAATTAAAAAAATGTTTTCTGTTAGCATACCAAATTATTCTAAACTATTTTCCTTAAGCATGTCTTACCAATGCACTTTTCTTTATCTGGTGTGAGCTGATAACCAGAATCACAGATGCATTTGAAAGATCCATCCATATTTACACATCTACCATTGCCACACATTTTGCTCTCTGTGCATTCATTCATATCTTCACAGAACCCACCATCAACAGATGTTTTGAAACCATTTTGACAGTTGCACTTGTATGATCCAATTGTGTTTTCACAGTGCCCATTCAAGCAAATACGAGGGTTTTCAAGGCACTCATCAACATCTATGTAAAGAAATATTTCAAGTTGAATAAGTAACTCGACAATAATCAGAAAATTAAATTGCTTATAGTACTATTATTCTTAACCTCTTCATTGAAATTATATTTGGAAATATTTTTAAGAATAAATCATATAGAAAAATAGGAAAAACAGAACTATTTGAAAAAAAAAAGAAAATCTGTTACCTACACCCATGAACCTTTCCAAATGTAAAGAAAATACTGAGGTGAAATTAATTCTGTTCCAGAATTGCAAAAATTTTGTAAAAATATTTCAGGAAGAAATGCATTACTTTAACTCACCTATGCAGGAATGGCCTGTGGGTGATAAAGAGTACCCAGTATTGCACTGGCATCGGAATGAACCATCCATGTTGATACAACGGCCATTGGCACACATTCCACTATGACTGCATTCATCCTGGTCTAACACACAAAAAATTCAATCAATAGAGGCAACAGAGGAGTTGCATTTATTTCTTGTCAAATCAAGTTTTAGAAAATAAATGAATGTCCTTTTTAAGTTTAACATGATTTGATTCATAGAAAATTGTGAAACAGGATAAGTCTGGTAATATGAAAAAAAAGATTATCGATGTAAGTAAATTAATCTAAGGAATAATAAAAGGAATAAATTTAAAGGAGTTAATTGAAGTTAAGACATGTAAAATGTATTTCATGGTCAAGTAAAGTAAGATTATGCGACATCATTAGCAACATCATTCAAAGATGGTAAGTAATTCTCTAGTCAACATCAGTCTTTAGTGTACAACAGTATATATTAAGAATATGTGTAATGTATTAGTGAATAAGCAATGAAATAAGAAGTAGTCTCAAAAGATATTTTGATTTTAGTATATGCTAGTTAATTTCATTGAATTACCTTTGCAAAATTTACCATCTGATGAAACATCAAATCCAGGAGGACAGACACAAGAATAACTTCCAATTGTATTTGTGCAATAACCTCCTTGGCAAAAGTTCAGTTCAACACATTCATCAATATCTGCAAACCAATTGAAAATAGGGAAATAGAAACATGAAAATTAAGCTCCCAGAATTTCCCCAAAAAAATCATTGATATGAGTATTTAGATTTTCACTTTGAAAACTAAATCGCTTCACCTTCACAAACTTCTGATTGGCCTTTTTGATAGCCTGGAAAGCATTCACATCGATATCCTTCTGGAATGTCAATACATCGACCATTTTCACATATATTTGCTCTTAGAGCGCATTCATTTATCTGTGATATTGGTCCTGGAACTTCACACAATTTCTTGTATTGTTCTGAAATAAATAAATAACAATATTAAATTGATTTTTAAAACATAATATGCAAATGTTGAAAAGCTAAACATTAGAGTTATTTAAAATTTTTTTTTAAAGGATAATATCCTAAGGAACATTTTTTCTGTTATGGTTGTTATAGATGAGAGAGAAAAAAGTTGAGGTACCTTCTCCTGGCTGTGGACATGGTTCACAGTCTCCCCACGCTTTACCCATATTCATTCCACAACAGCAGTCCTGCCTAGAGAGTTTCAAAGGTAGCCGGTTTTTACACTGTCCGCTGTAAGTGAGGGTAGTGAAACAGTTTCCTTGCCTTGTGTCTACAGAATAAAACGTGAGCAATTACGACAGTTTCTTTGCAATCAAAATGGTAGAAAAAAGAATTATTAGGAATAGATAATAGAAATTAATTTTTATTAAAAATTGTTTCTGCAAATTTCTATGTTAATCAAAGTTTAGTACTTAGACTAAACTTTTTCTATACATACCCATACACTTTTTGCGATCAGGTGTTGGAATGAACCCTGAATTACAAATACAATAAAATGCTCCATCAGTGTTTATACATTGTCCATTTTCACAAACAGTATTGCCTTTGCATTCATCCAAATCTTCACACCTGTTGGTCTCTTCATTTCGAGTCTGGCCTTCTGAACATTTACAAGTGAAAGAACCTACAGTGTTAACACAATTACCTCCTTCGCAGAGTCCAGGTATAGCCTCACATTCATCAATATCTGAAAGAAAATAAACATTTAAAATGAAGTTCAGATCACACAACATATTATAAGAACATAGAAGCATACCCATAATACTCGTTTATAGATAAAAGTTTCAAATAATGCAAATGAAGTGGTAATACGTTTTATTCATTGATCTGGCATGGTATAATTCAACTAATATTTTTTTAAATATGAACAATTTGAATTTTTAATTGAAAATGATCATATATTTTGGTTTAAAACATAAATGAAAGGTACAAAAAACTACTATTATCATCATAACAAGTCTCAACAACTGTTTTCTGTAACAAATGTGAATTAAAGAACAGATTTTTAATTGTGAAGCACGCTTATATTTAATATTTAGAAAACGATTGTTCTATATGTTTTTAGTATTTTACGAATTTCAATAGTATGCGTGCCAGGAATGCTTTATTTTCAAAAATCTTTTCTTTTGAGCTCCACAAACCTGACGGTACCGTCCAACATTACGTCAATACCGCCTGAACGTAGGCAACCCTTCGTACACTTCCAAGGCTCTACACCAGCGGCTTTCAAACAGGTCGCGGAGATTGTGTTTCTCGAGGACAAAGCTACTACACCATTTTGCAGTATGTTAGCCCAAGTCAATGCTTCACGATTCAATACAATAAGTATACCTCTCAATTAACGATTTCGAAATCGCAAGTACTAACATGAAAACAAGACGTACTAGAAAATATGAGTTTTCTTCGTTAAACGTAATATATTGGGGAACTTTTTTTAGTGAATAAGGTGCGAAGAAATGCAAAGCGCCGGCCCTCTCTGGAGAACGCTTCCTAATCCGCTGGAAAGGTTTTCAAAGAAGCCAACAGAGTGGGGAAATAGTATGGTAACAGAAACGAACCTACGCACTCTCTGCTGTGTATGTTTTTCAAAAATCCTTCGTCACAATCAAGTTGAGTTGGACAGTGTTCACATGGATGGCCCCATGCCTTTCCAACAGTCGCACAACACAGTTGCTTTGTGCACACCACACCCTGCAGCTGGCCTTGGCACGAGTTATCCTTTACGCGAGTGAAGCAAGGGCCGGTTCGGTAATCTGGAAATCCAACAATTAGAAAACTACATCTCTATTCAGTATATTCAAATTACCCAATTAGTACAACTAATATTGTCAAGTGCAAACAAACTCTAATTTCAGAAAATGAATTCACATGTGTTGGGTCTCTACACCTTTTTTTCAAAATAATTATAATAAAAAAAATAATAATGTGGTTTTTACAAAAGGAAAAAGTAAATTATTTACTGTTTACCAGATTGTTTACAAAAGTGGCAGCCGTTTCTTGAATCTTTTGTAAAATTCGGACGTTCTTGGCACAAACTAATATTATAGCAATTATGTGATAACTTGAACAACTTTCAGTTATGACAGTTGAAATGGGAAAAATCTAAATCACAATATGCAAGTATTTGGAAAATTTTTCTCCACAAAACGTTTTCATTAGGATTGTTAGTAGATTAGTTGAATCAAAGTTTGCAAACCGTGCCAATTTTGTAACATTGCGCAAAATAGCATGCATGCCACGATTGTAAAACTTGTTGTATGTTTTCCACTAGACATTTTTGGCAATATCAGCCGCCTCTATCTCCACCATCGCCGGGCAGCGCACTCACCTCGCTCGCAGCGGTGCCCCGTGAAGCCGTAGATGCAGGCGCAGCGGTCGGGCCCGATGCACCGGCCGCCGTTGAGGCACGCTTCTTGACACACGGCTGGAACGCGAGAGAGCGGGCATGCACGAGGCGCCTCGCGCGGAGGGGGCTGGGAGAGGGCGCAAAGGGGCCAATGGAAGAAATTCTATTTTACAGAATGTACGGATAAACCTTCGCGTGCAATGCTACTCATTTATTACATTGGCGTAGAGACGGTAAACTGTTTCACTAGGTTTATGGGTCTAGATAATCCGTAAGGTGTGAAGGCGTGTTTTAGAGTTCTGGCCTAATAGGCAAAGACAAAACCACTGTGTACTACAACGTAATTCTATCTCCACCATCATTAACATACAGACTATGCCTGAATGATAAAGAAGAACCACTGCAATTTTCATGAATATTGTAAGTTTCATTTCACGGTAACAGTGTTTTGTCATGAAACTAGGGTGCTATAGAATGGTACAGACTTTCTAGTACTAGTTTGATTCCTAATTTCATTGGTCTGGGCTTTCTTTTTGGTTTTGCCCAATCCTCTTCCAGGCGCCAACCATCGCCACCGATTTTTTTTTTTTTTTTTTTTCACATTTTCTCAATTTTTCGGTCCTCTAATGGTAGAACTGAAACATGGGTTCAAGAATATTATAGAAGAGTAAAAATTCGTCCTACGGTGTGAAAATATTCAATGAAATATCTGAAGACGTATCTGACAAAAATGTTTGAGCGTTTCATAAAATTTGCATTTTGAAGCTCATTTTCACCCCAAATTTTTACTTTTTCTATAAACTTTACAATAAATTATTTCAAGCAATTGTACTCATAAATGCAACAACGACTGTTAATGTAAGTATTAACGGCATTTAACTACGTGGTGATACAAAATGGCACAGACTTTCCCGTATTAGTTACGGAAATTTTTATAGATGGTTAGTTTGGTGTTAGGGATTCTGGTAATTAGTCCCGTACATGTAGTGCATGATTTCTCCACAGGATGTAGCGCTAATGTTCTCTTACTCGATGGTGAGGTCCGGCGCCAACCTACTGTCGGTCGTGGGTTTTTCCACAACCAGGTATCTCCCACCAGCGTGGCACCGCCCCAGCCGGGACAAGCTCTAAGCTCCCAACCGGTGCCCCGGCATGTGCGTTAGTGTAGTGCATGGAAGTGTGTATAAGGGGTAGGATAGGTCAAGGAATGGGAAGGAAAGATTGCGGGATCCTTGGGCCATTTGGTAGGGTACTGCCCCGGCATTCCCCTGGTGTTAATTGGAGAAACCACGGAAAACTACCGACCAGAGCAGACAGCCTCTAGAATTTTCTTCCAAACAGCGACTGAATTCGACCTAGCTATCACGCTAGTGTCGCAAGTCTTGCCTTCGTCGGGACTCGAACCAAGGACCTCCCAGCCAGACGCCGCAGTTGATGCACTGAGCCACATCGCCCGGTGAAACTTCATAGAGCTAAATCGTTTCTATGTCATCTTATGCAGTATATTTATGACAGTATATCCCTAACCAGCTTAAAGAAAAAAATTGGAGCCGGTTTTGAGAAACGATTGTTTTTTATACATTTTTTAATGTCACACATATTTCACACAATATTGCGCAAAAACAACTAAAATTTTCAAATACATTTACATTACCTTAATGAAACACCTAAGTATGGAGAACAATTTTCATTTGAATGAAAAATCTCTCTCTCTCGCTCTCTCTCTCTCTCTCGCTCTCCCTCTCTCGCTCTCGCTCTCTCGCTTTCTTCAACTTCGTAGTTGTAGGAAAAAATCGAAAAAACTCAAACTTCTCCAGGTTTCGAAAATTAAGTGTTAACAGTCAAAAGCTGCCTTATGACGCCTTTATACGTGCATTTCACTATATTCTTAAAATAAATTTATAGAAAAAGGTTGGAGTCATTTTTGAGAAAATTTTGAAAATGTCCCAATGGCTTCATGTACAGTACTCCCCAAAATTAAAGAAATTCAATTTAAAATTAATTTAATATTGCAGAGCTTTGAGGGTGGAGGCCAGATCGACCGGGGTGTATTCTGTTTGGAAAAAAAATCCTACGCATAGTTTAGACGCTAGTGTTGTTCACAAACGACAGACGGACGGACGTTTGGAAAAAAATAACTCACATTTCGGAATCAGGGGATCTCAGAACGTGTATTTCCGTTGAAATCTCGAAATGAATTTTTCACAGCATGACATAACTTTTTCTGTACTACGTATGTACGTTCGTATACGAGAAAGTAATAAATGGCGAGAGCTTATTCAATAGGCTGAACTCAGTACCTTAGTTGGTACTCTGGCACTGGTAATAACTCTTTCTCTAGGAGAACGTGAAAATAGCTAATGGAACCAGTTGGGAATGTTCTTACTGAATTTAATTTGACGTTTTATTATGACTGAAAATGATGGATTTTCTTAAGAAATTAAAAACACTTTTATCTAAAGGTCTAGTATACCTGGCAGTTGTACATAGAGCGTGTTCTACGTTTTCGAAGCAAATGCAGACGATTTTTATAATAAGCAAATTAATCCAATTCGAAATATATTTCTGGTTGATGGAAGTTTGATGACCTGAGAATGGACGATTGTATTAAAGAATATATCAGTTCAATCTTTATTTCAATTCGTTCAATAATTCATATCGCGAAAATGAGTCTGTCAATGAACGCAACATATATAAAAAACAAGACAGTGTATTTCCAATGGCCACATCTTGGAACATTTTCTGCCATCAATGTTGACAACAACGCTCATTGCTACCTTATTAATTCCACTTTGAGTTGTAAGAGCGTTTTCTGTTTTTTGATGACGAAGAAATAAAGATCACTCGGCCCGATTCGCGGCTGGCGACGACGCAGCTGCCGCGAGCACGGCGCGCCGCCCCAGGGCCGCTGAACCTCCGAAGGAGCCTCGGCCTCCGGTATCTTTATCGCCCCAACGACCCGAGCTCAGCTCGGCTCCGGAGACTGACCTCTCCGCATCGTGTGTTTCGAGTGCGACAAAGATTTATGGGGGTCGCTGGTACGAGAGAGTCGCCATAACGAAGGATAATTGCTGGGTACTTTAAAGCAGATAGAGAACCGACTCCAACTTACGACTTTCCACACGTCACTTGGCTAATTTGATCCCCCTGAACCTCAATTTTGCGGACTTGCCATTGGAAAACAAACGCATGGAGTGGCAAATGCTGTAAACCTATGTGCAAAACATCTAACGTGAATATCACTCAAGACTCTTCAAGTGCGTTCGGCCTTTTCTTTAACAAGAAGCTTTACTATTCTTGAGAAGCAATCCAGAAGTACAAGTAATAGAGATGAAGTAAGTAGAAGAAATTACATAGATAAGACATTCATAAACATTTTTATTCTAAAGTAATTCATTTCTAATTGCTAAATAGTTTAACCTCCAGACACTTAAACGGAATTTCTGTCAGTGACAACGGAATGCTTAAAAGAATTTAAGATTGTGAAGTAGAAACGTTTTAAACTTTTAAATGTTTAACTTGAAGTTATTAATTCGTATTTACAAATGTCACTTTTTGAATCTGAGATTGTTAGATACGTGCTGTACATGAGTTAACAAAATAATAATAAATATGTCGCGCGTAGAGGAAGTATCTGCAGCGTTGCAAAGACGCCAGCCCCGCAGATGCACCTCCTCACACGAGGTGCACGCGTCATGACAATGCGCTGTCCTCAATTCCGACACAAGGTGGCTCAGGGCATCAACTGACGGCACTGCAGCGCCTACGCTATGCCAGGAGCTCCTACGTTCGAGACCCGTCGGTGGAAGGCTTGTCAGCTAGTGCGAATCCAGCCGCGGTCTGGAGCAGAATTCTACGCAGAGGCCGGCTGCTCTGATCGGCAGTTTTCCTTGGTTTCTCCGATCAATACCCGGCGCATACCGGAGCAGTACCCTAGCAAATGGGCCACGGACCGCGCGAATATGTCCTTCGCTCCCACACATGCCGGGACACCGGCTGGGGCGGTGCCCGCTGGTGGAAGACACCCCGCTCGCCACCTCCCGAGGAAAAACATGCCCTACAGGGCGGCCACGCTCCGAATAAAAGAGGGGCTGCGGTGTGGACAGGCTGCGCGTAGCGGTACTCACGTTCGCCGCAGAAGTCGCCTTGGTAGCCAGGGCGACACACGCAGCGCGAGCCGCTGCAAGAGCCTCCGTTGAGGCAGGCCACTCGGCAGCCGCCGCCGCCCTCGCCGCCCTCGCCGCCTCCGCCGGGTCCTGCGGACACAGCATTCAGCAGCGAAGCGTCTGACTAGCCGCGTTATACTTTAAATTCACACACGAGCAGCACAATGCTAGGCATGTAAAAATAGCCTTTTCCAGCTTTAGCACCAGGACCACCAATACCATCGCCACAGACTACACCACGGCTATTACATTCATAGGAACAAGGGAGAAGGAAGAAAAATAACAACCACAAAAAAAGAAAATAATATTTTAAAACTATTTTTCCCCAACTACTCACCATCTCGAAACACCCAAATCTGCTGCCCAAAACGCCTAAATGACCGCCTTAAATAACAAGTACTAGTTAGTGTAAATGGTAGTGTGTGGAGGGTACATTTGGATCAGGGCACTGAGCCAGGGACAATCATTCTAAGGAACTACAGAAGTATTTTATTTCTAGAGTGAATGAAATTCAACGTCGGAGTCACCGCTGAAAGTGTGACAAATATTGGGACTCCCTAACCTCTAAGATGGGAGTTCTCTCTTGGGAGTTCCTAACCTCTAAGATCTAGGAAATAATATTAAAGGAAAATTACACTCCAACCTAATCAGCAATTTAAAATGTTTCTGGATTTTGTATCATAAGAATTATAATTTTCTGCTCGTGTGCTGCTAATTGTGCTTCTCGTGTGTGAATTTTGTATCATCAGTAATTGGATTAGCAAATACCAATCACGAACGATTCGGAGTATTTCATAAACGACAAGTAATTGAAAGTCTAATTACTTGATTCAATTATCACAAAATACATGCAAAATATCGTTTTTTTGAAGAAGAGGAACGTCCAGACCGATTTGGCATCTGACCTTCGGCGAAGGAAAGGTCGTGAACCTGAATCTGGCGTTCCTTTCGCGCCGCTTTGGCATGTGTCTGCAAATCCACGGCGAGACATAAAAAGTTATCAGAAGCCATGGCTTGGATTTAAACCGGACATCTAACACACTAACTACGTACTTTATCTCATCCAATAAGCCAATCTGCATAATAAAACGAAAGAAATGATAACCCATCACGTTCCACGGCTTCCAGGAGGGTCGAAAAGTTAACGGATTATAATTTAGGGGCAATTAATTCTGAAAGAATGCCACTTTTGACCGCTGTTTTATCGGCATTCTCTTAAGGTTTCGTTTTCCTGTTTATTTCAGACACATTTTTATTGTTTTTAAATGCATTCCCTCTACGGCAATAATATTTGAAACAACTTGGAATCAAACAAATAATATTTACAAACACGTTGCTAGGATGGACTGCTCCAAGAATATGCCTAGTCGCAAGTATTTACTGAGATCTCGGCAAACTTGGTTTGAATTGATTTAACTGAGTTTTTTAAATCAATTTAACAACCATGCACATAAGTTTTCTACAAAATAGTTTCCATAAAACGGAAATGTCTAGTTTTCAAATGTTGCTAACCTCGCTTTGTTGGTACTTTTATTCATAATTCAGCTATATTCAGTAAATGCCCATTCACAATATAAACATATACATAAGCATGGCGTTAACATAAAAGTTAGGACTACGTCCATAAGCGGACTCATTCACAATGCGTTCGCATAAGCATAATACGTAAGACGTTAACTTAAAAGCTTGCAAGCTTCAAGCTTCTATGCTTATGCTTAAGTAAGACATAAAAAATGAACCAAACACAGTACGTTAACTCAAAATCGAGAATCGAAATATGAGCGAAGTCGATAGACTAATTAACGCCATATGAGCCATGCACATAGTCAATACCTCGATATCGATTCTCACATCCAATCAATAGTAAATTAGAATGTCTCACAGCGAATAGAAACCCATTATTTTGCCTACGTTTATGTTAGACATTGTGAATACTTCAGTCTATCACTTATGTTAATGTTTACGTCAATGCGTTATGCTTATGTTTATGTTTATGTTTACGTTCGCATTGTGAATGGGCCTTAAAAGAGATTATGGAGTTCAAGAAAACCTGCGAAAATTATAAATTTTCCTCTTTTTACTTTTCTCTAACCAAAATAAATCAAATAAAATAAAATGCCTTCAATTACAAAGAAAAATTTCTTAGATTGTTCAATGATTGAAATCTCCAACATTTTTTGATTCATTGGCCTGCTACTCTTTGGTACTGGATGTGGATGACAGAATATTCCATTACTGTTTTGCATTTAGTTAACAAAAAAATAATCTTAATAAGGTGAAAACTACCCTTTATTAAAATGTAAAGAGCATTTAAATTCCAAATAATTGCAAAATGTATTTCTTGAATTCATTAATTAAAAATGTACTTGACGAAACTATAACAGTTCCTAAAATAGTGACATTCTAGCTTCATACAGACACACAAGAGTTAAAAAATTATCATTTTATCTTACAATTATATTGAGTAATGTTTCAGAAGTGTTGCGGAAAGTTTCGAATTAATCCCGATGTTTTACAACATTGATATCATTAATCGCAATTCATTAATTAAAGTACAGTTTTAATGCTGTCCAAAATAACTGTACGAAATATGTACTTTTTATAGACATAAACAATTATAATAAACATGATTGTTTGAAATGTGTTATTACATTTTCATAAACGTAATCAAAGATAATGTTTAAAACTTTTTTCACTCTGAAGGCTCGTTATCTCAGACGTTTATAAAGAAGTTTACTTTTTTAATATGCAGTCATTATTTAAAGATCATAAATAAAAAATCGCCAAACGAGCCTTTTTAATCAAAGAACTGTTTAAGATTACACTTAAAATGTTCTGCAGTACTCGTCCAATGAAAGCTGTCGAGCCACAAAGTGGTCGGCGAGTGCGCTTCCGGGAAGCGAGGGGCGGGGGCGAGGGCGGGGGCTGGCCGGAAGGGCTGGGGAGGAGGCCGTACCTGGTCGGCGTGCGCCCGCGCCCGCGCCCGCGCCCGCGCCCGCGCCCGCGCCCGCGCCGCAGGACGAGGCGACGGCACCGCCCTCGCACAGGCACACGTTGGGCTTGATGCAGTGGCCGGTGGGCGCGCACGGCCGAATGCAGATGGCTGCGGACAGAGCGCGGCGCGTCACGCGCTGGACTGCGAGCTACCACGGATTTAGTGGCATGTTATCCCATGGAGCCAAAGCCGAAACCATGACAGATCAACGCTTTCACTGCGTATCCCTGCGTTTCCCTGCTTTCTCCCTAGCCCATACAGTTTCCAAACTAACCTGGGTGTAGAAAAGCCGATATATCTTTGATGGCAAAAAAATCACAAGCTTTCGTTTGATATTGAAGGATTGTGTCTGGGAACAATATCTTCATTGGTCCAAAACATGAGACTTTAATACAAATTGAAACCTTGTATTTTATTATTATTATTATTATTATTATTATTATTATTATTATTATATAGCATGGAAAACAAAAAAGTGACCGTGAACCCTTATGACCATGCACTAAAGGCATTACAGTGTATAGTGAGCGCGTTTTAGCTTTTGAATATATTGAGACAATGTATATTTTTATTTTTAAAAACTTTGTCATCTCTATATATACTAAAGCAGTCGTTGCGTTTCAATTGTATTGTATTGTATTTCTTCGAACTTCCATCATTGTATTCGTAATTAAAACGTAAAAAAAAGAGATGTACACATTTTCAGGGCGATGTAACAATATTGACCAGTATCACCGAATACTTCACAGTACTTATGTATTCGTATTATTAGCATAAAATACATTACACGGTTTCTTCGTAGAAAGACTGTAAAGGGGATTTTGCATAAATGAATTCAAAGGACTCGCTTATGACTATCATTCAGAATTGTTCCATGTAAAACAATTTTTTTCATATAAAAAGTTATATACCATTTGAGCTGTGTGGCGATTCCGAGTTGTAGTGAAAGGTTTACTTTTTAAATTCTTTTAAAAATAATCTTTATTTTTTTAAACTAAAGAGAGGTCTGTTTGGTGAACAACTAGAAGGTCGCATTGAATTATTAATCACCAAAGAACACGTATTTACGTAACTCAAATATATCATGATTATATTACAAGGGGTTACTTAACATTACAAGGCCTACATGTGTATTTTTTTGTCTTCCACTTTATGATAATGAATAACACTTAGCCCAGAAATTAATGTGAGACTTGACAATGTTTCTTTATCAATAATGATTTTAATGTTAGAATAAGAAATTCGAAGGTAGTCCTGTAAGTGTAAGTCGGAAAGCTTGTTTCCTCCGTTTTGACTTCAGAATGTTCATTCTGGAGGAAATCTACACACTAAGTATGTGCTGACAAAAAGAGATGCTATGAACTCTGCTTATAAGCGGATTGCTTGAAATAAATTTGTCTTCCTGAATAACGCTAAAAATAAATAGAAGAGTATAAATAAAATAAAAGAATATCAACAGATTACTTTTTTAAATTTTAGTTAAAAGTGGCGTGTGTTCGCAGACCGTCAAACCTTAAGTTACGGACCATATTGTAGTTAAAATGAGTATTTGTCTGCGAACCGCTGAAAAGACACGCGCAGTGGATTGAATACCACACCTCTTAATTCTAATTACCGGTTCTTATTTTATTTTAAAAAGTTAGAATCGGAAACGTCGCTCAGTAGAACGGGTTAATTTCGTTTCGCCCATTGTCCTGAAAATGTGTTTCCTTCCTTTTTAAATGTGAAATGAAATTAGGCCATGGTTCGGCCATGGCGGGCGGGGCGCGCGCGCACTCACGGATGATGCAGAGCCCCGTCCCGGGCTTGATGCTCCAGCCGGGGCAGCAGTAGCTGCGGAAGCGAGACCGGCACACGTTGGGCCTGCAACAGAAGGGGGCGTGCTTTCAATGCGCTGGCAGCAGCCACACGAGCGAGCCCTTTCAAATGGCGCTGAAACCAAGCGATCGCGGTGGACAAAGTACATTTGAAGCTGCGGCATGGAGGAAGTGTACTAGGAAGCGAGATTTAAATTGAAAATAATTATCACTTATTTTGATACAAAAATATGTTTTTCTAATCATACTTTTTTTTTGTATTTTATCACCTTTATAACTAGGGAGCGGATTTTTATGATTTGACATATTTTTGTTCATTGCTTCAGGCTAAATGAAATTTCTTAACATTCGGTGTGTTTTGGATGTTATACAGATTTACATGTTAGTGCATATTGTACATATTTTGACGATTGTTTCTGTTCGTGTAATTATAGGCGCATATTTTGCATATTTCGTTAAAATATAGACTTATCTCTAAACCGTTTCTTCTTTTTATAGAATCTACTATTCATTTGTGAGTGTTCATTGATTAGAATGAGCTTGTCACAGTTAGACTTTGTTTTTCTTTTCTATCGATGATAAAATACTTGTGAGTGTGCAGGATGTTTCTTGATATATTTTTTAATACAGGCAGAAGAAATGCGCCATGACATACAATGTATTTCACTAAGGTGAATATTTACTTAAATTATTTCTCCAGCGAAATAAATTAGATTGTAATATACTTACACAAAATATATTTTTTCAATCAAAGCATGCTTCTAAATTTTATCAAGAAGGATTTATACAGAAAATGTAATATTGTTAATTTTTATTGCATATTAAAGGTCATATTTCGGATTTTACAGTTCGTAGATGCATTTTTAACATTTCAAGATTTGTAGGGCATAAAAGTCCTCTCGCTAAAAATGATAACTTTTCTATTCGTTTTCGTTCAGTTTATCTCTAGATCTGCTTTAAGAACCCTGCAAGCGTTCATACGTTCGTCATTTTTTCTTTAAATACGTACGAGTATAACACGTTCTTAATTGTACTATTTTACTGCTGTAATGTTTGTTTCTCTTCGGACAAGTTGATGCCACCCAAAGATGAGATCGCTTGATAGTCCGCAACAACTTAAGTCTTTGAATGTCATTATGTTCTTGAGCACTGATAATGATTATAAATTGAGACACAAACAACGCAATTAAAACTATGTCAATTTCTCATAACTTAGTTCCTTAAGAGAAAACAGAATTACTGATCAGAAAATATGCTTTTTGGACTCGTACATGGACATTGTTAGAACTTTTTAAATTAGTTTTTAACATCATTTAATTATTTATCAATACAGATTTTTCTCTTTAGTAATATCCTAATAAATATTATTTAATGGAATCTTTTAATTTTGAATACGACATTGATTTTACCAGTACAATTGTCTCGAAATAAAATATAAGAAAGGTTAACATTTTTTAAATTCATTTTGACAAATCAATTTACTGTGTGTTTGTTGACTTTCATAATTAATTTGGCACTTAAGATTCAGTGCGGCTCACTTGGTGGAATTAGAGAAGTTGATCGGGTGAATAGCTAGTGCACGAATAGGCTGCTACAGAAGTGTAAGAGGGTTAAACGTTCACATTCATCAAATAAATTCATTCATATTGCCGTGTTCGTTCTTCTTCTCAAGCCACTTCAATGGAGAATTATGGGTCTGCTCAGCAATTGATGTTTTGCTAGAGGCGTCGCCACTAAATTAAAACGCGCGTCTCTTCGATAAGTGCAAACTACTCGGGTATGTACGATAACCCGTACGAAGTAGCATGTACAACAAAACTATTTCCGTTATTGTAAATACTAAAGACTGGAATGCATTGATAGAGTTAGATCTCCTATGTAGAGGGTTTATAATTTGCAAACGCGTACCACAAAACCAGAACACGTAAGCACGATCAGCATTAAAATTTGTGGTTAAAGTAAAGAAAGAAACGCTTTTTTGATTGAATTGATGTGTTTTAAGTCAGTTTATGTTCATAGAGAACCGTACTCTTCAACGAGACGTACAGGACAAATAAATTAATGGCCATAATTTTTGAAAATTCTATTCTTTCTCAACGCAAGTATTCCAAGTTTTACCAATATAGCTATGTACCAAAATGTTTTAAAGATGTACAAGAGAAAGAGTAGGAGGTTTGAAAGTCGAACCAGATACGCAATGAATGGAAGGACAATATACTAGAGTGGACAGTTTTGATTGCGCATTTCCGCACCTGAATATATTTCAAACAGCTCAGAAATACACGAAATTTACTGCAAAGATGAACTCCCGTTTGTAAAAATCCTTAAAATGCAACTTTTTTAAACATAAAAATGTCCATATCTTTCTTCATGACCACTTGCATCATTTTAGATATGACAGAATATAGTGTCCTGGAGATGAGAGTGTTGTTTCGCAATTGCCGTTCTTATTTCTACAATAATAGTATCTAAAATCACTAGAAAAGAAAAGAAATGTAAGTGTAGGTAGAATATCCATTTGAATTGAAGAATAAGAGAAATTAAATGTGACTATGGTATAGCATTAAATAATGGTGGCGCCACTCTTTCCAACCCACTCTAATGTTAGGCTTCTGGGGAGGAGGGGCGGCAGGCGGCGGCGCGGCGCCTCGGCCGCTCGAGCCCTCGCGCCCTCGCGCCCTCGCGCCCTCGCGCCCTCGCGCCCTCGCGCCCTCTCTCTCCGCCGCCCGAGGCCTCTGGGCTCAAGCCCCTCGCCGAGTCAAAAGAGCTCCTGTCCTACAACTGGGCGGCGATGCGCGCTTCACTGCTACGTGAGAATGAACCACACAATAACAGGCGAAAAGTCCAAAAAAAAAGATATCGAAAAGAATTTCGTAAAAACGATTTCCAGCAGTTTTAGGTCTCTCAGAATGGCAAAAAAGAAACATTTTGCAAAACTGAAATAATAGATTCATCGTTGTCAACTTAAATGAAAAATTTAGGCCATCTCTTATTTCATTCACAAATGTCAACTCCACATCAGCATTCCCACATATCCCAGAATGTTACGTGGAAAGTTATCTATCAGTTTTGTCTTAATCTTCTTTCAAGGAGCTCCCTGAAAGAAAATTCTAACTCTGACATTGTTCATGACAGCCTCAGTTAGCATGGCTACAGGCGCTCAAACCCCTCTTTAAATAAAAAAATATATACAATCTAATATTTATAGATAGGTCTTTTGACAGTTTCAAATGTCAAGAGAACTATATTTACAGTTATAGACAAAAAATACCGAAGGTAAATAATGTAAACATTTTTTTAAAAAAAGGGGTGAGATGAATACTCGTATGCAATTCTTTTAAATTATGTTTCGCAAAATATTTACCTCTTCTCAATTGAGTCTTGAGTCAAATATTCACGTCGAGCTCTGTCGAAAAGAAAGTTTAGCAAGGACACCGATAAGACTTACTCTCCAATTGCACTTAATATGTTCCTATACTGTGGACACTAGACCTTTTCGTGTGCAAATGCATCTGCATGTTTCTACGTTTATATTACTGCCTGGGGAAATTGATGGAATGTCCATATTGTTGAGCTAATCTATTTTTAAACCTTCTACGGACGTGTATTGGCTTACTCTATAGGGATGTGAACAAAATCGCATTTCAGAATTCTCTAGCATATTTGGTTATCTCGATAACTTGAACGTTCGTGGGAGAAAAATATTCATTGTGAAGACAATGTACGCATTATCTTTCCGAGGTTAATGTTTGCTAGAAAGTTCTCATTCTTAATGGAAAATTAAATGAAAATGTCAACACTTTATTGGCATGCTTGCATGTGAATATAATTGAAAGAGAATCATCAAAATATTTTATATCCTACAAATGTTAATATTTCGCCTGGTCACAAAAATGCTTTCAGACAAATCTCAAAGTTTGGTAAGATATTCAATTCTGTATTTACATTTTTTTTACATTGTCGCCTAATGCTTATGTAATACAGAGAAAGTATCCTAATGCTGTGGGATAAAAACGGCGAATTTTAGACAGAAAAATTCTTCTTGTCGGGTCCTCGTAACGAAAAAGTGGATAAATTTTGTCCCTTTACATAGCAGATTCATATGCAGATTTTTTATCAAAATTTATATTCCCCACTTGATCTGACTGACGCCGCGACCTTGAATTTGCAATATTTTAATTTTTATGGGGAACATTACATATCGCCTAAACATTTTCAAGATTTTCTAAAAAAAAACTCAAATTTTTTTCTTAAAATTGTTTCTCTGATAGTGCAAAAACCTATTAAATAAATAGCGTGGGTCGCATTTATTTACCCTCACTAAAGTTTCGAAAATTGCAAAAGTTCAAAACGTTTTCGCCGTCTTCCTACAACTACAATAATGAAGGTATCATTCTTTGCTTTAATGACTTCTTTCCATCAAAATAACTATTCGTATACATTTATGTTCAATTTTTCAAAAATATTAATAGTTTGCGTTCTTTTGAGTAAAACATAAACAATTATTAAAACTTAAACAATTATTTTCTCAAAATTTTTCCAATTTTTTCTTTACATTTTCTTTTCGTATATGGCAAAGAATAGTAAATAATGTGGTGCCAATCTCATTATCGGCAGACTCTCCGTACTTTCGAAAATTCCAAAAAGTAAACGAAATTCTAATTTCCGGTGCTATCAGCCCGCCAAATGGCAACCCGGCGGTTTCAAATTATTCGAATTATTCTCATTGTCACCGACAGTGATTATCGTATGATGCAAATAATTTCTTAAGAAAAATAGATTTGAGTAAGGTAATAGATTGAACTTTACGTTTAAGTTTAGATCACTGTTTATGGTATTCAAAAATTGGAAGCTTAAATCGATGCAATCAAAGCGAGTTTTCGCATCAACATCTAGATCATTAGTGCCCACCACTGGATTTAACGTCATGGTTACTGTGAGGATGACATATGATGATGATGGGGTGTCAAAGGACAACACAAATATAACCATGCCCGAAGCGGGACTCGAATCTGCGATCATCGAAAGATCACGTAAAGTTTTTTGAAAAAACGTGAAGTTTCTCCTAAATTGGTCTTCAAGTTAATGCAATGCATTTTTTTTTAAATAATCTCAAAAACCGTTCAGAATTCTTTCTTCAACTTTTCTT